TATATGTATTTGGGTTATTTATAGCTATCTAGTAATCATGGGAAAAAGTATAGCGTAGGCATGAGTGGTCTGGGTTTTGGAATCAGGTAGACGAGTTCAAATCCTAGTTCCCCTGCTCGTTAGCTGTGGGGCTTGGGCAAGTTATTTGCCTTATTCTCAGTTTCTTCATTTGTAAATTAGTCATCACAATACCTACAGCTGTCAAAATGGGTCTTGTTAAGTTCTTCCTCCCTTGTGGTTAAATAGAGTGGACATTTTTAACCTTCATCTTACTTCTCAGCAGTGTTGAACATAGTGGGCACTCTCTGTTTAAATTTTTTTGCAATTAAAATTTGTATTGTGAGGTATCTCATTCACATTTACAGCAAAGTAAAAAACCTACATGTACACTTTCGGCCATAATAAAATGAATACCTGTGTAACTGCCGCCTACATGTGAAACAGAGCATTGCCAGGACCTCAGCAGCCTGTGTTCCCCTCTTGGATCACATCGCCTCTCCTTCTTCATTCTGACTCCTGTGGTAGTCATTCCCTGCTTTCTGAGTGGCTTTACCATCTGTAGATGTAGTCCAACAATGTGTTACTTAGTTGCCTGCTCTTAAGCTTTGCATTATATGTGATACTTCGTAGTTTTATGCAATTATATAGTATATAGTCTTCTGTAACAATTCTTTTGTTCAACATTGTGAGTCTTTCATGTTGTGGACACCACTGGTTTATTCAGTTTCACTGTTGGATAGTCTTCCATTGTGTCTATTCTACAGTTTACCCTATCTAATACTGATTTTTTCCCCAACTTTTTATTTTTTTTATTTTTTATTTTTTTAAAGATTTTTTTATTGGGGAATTGGGGGATGGGAACAGTGTTGGGGAATTGGGGGAAGGGGAACAGACAAATTGCTATCGTTTTGTTCTTCAGTCTAGTTGTGGAGGACGTTGCTTCACTGGCCCAAGTTGGCACCATCATTGCGCTCTTCCCGGGTGAGGCAGATCAGTCGCCGGNAGCTCAATAGGAGATCTCTGTTTTTGACCAAGACACCTCTTTGAGGTGAGGATTGAAACATGAGATAAGATAATAGTTTTAAAGAATTTCGTGCATTTTGGTTACCATTCTACTAATAATTGTTACTAATTTACATGTGAAAAATTGAACCACCGTATGATCTTAAAAAAAAAAAGCAGTATGTACTGAACAATCCAAGCTGTTGGAAAATCTAGCCAGTAGAGGGCACTAATGTATCACTGATGAATTTTGAGTCATGAAAGGCTCCTTTTTGCAATTCTTTGTGCAACTTAGATTTTATTTAAATGTTTATTTTAGTCAACTTTGCCCTGCAGTGTTGCTAAAACAGATTAGAAACTAAATGCAGTTCTAGTGCACTGTTCAGCACTTGCATTGCCCTAAATGATATATTTCTTTTACCCAAGATCCTTGGCTAAGTGATATACTTTAGCCCATGTTGGCAATTGGAAGCCCTGTGCTTGAGGTTTAGGCTTGAGTGCTGGGGACTCTGCAAGTGTGTGTGATTGTGTGAGTGATCATAGGTCTAATTAAGAAAGACAGTGGTGGGTGGAGGTTTATCAAGTGAAGGAAGTAAAAATCCCAGTGGGGGTGGGAGATGACCATGGCTGGCCTCACGTGACTCCTGAACCAGAGAATGGCTGTCACATGTCATATTTGTGTCCTCAAATGTACACACCTCAAAGGTGTGTGCAGGTGTAGTTAAATTCAGGGCGATTTCATTTTCCCCACAGCACTGCCTGTATGTACAGAGAAGGAGCATTCCTTGTGGGCCTTTGTTCTAGGCTTGTCCTTTTATATATTCGATTTCATTTCAATCTCATGACAGCGCTGTGAGACAGGCGTTATTGTCATCTGTTTACAGGTGAAACAACAACCGAGGATGAGAGAAAGGACGTATTTCCAGGGACACTATTCTTGTGTACAGTGGATACTCATTTTACATTTGTCTAATGTAGCATTTCCCAAACTTTGTTCTGAAAGACACTGGTACCCTTCCAGGTTTCATATGTTTTCCTTATTAAATAATTTTGGAAAATGTTGCAGACTTGAACCCTCAGAGTTTCACAATGCACAAACATGTTTTAAAGCTTCTTAAGAAATTCTGTGGCAGTGAAACATAGTTAACTTTGTACAACTCAGGTTTCCCAACCATAATTGACTAAGGAACCCTTCTTCCCCCTCCGTTTTTAATAGAACAGCTATCAGTACTGCAAGACGTATGTACCTCTTGTGGAACATGGTTTGAGAAACATGGGTCTAATGAGTAAATATATGGGATGTATTTCTTGGTAGGAATAAAAGGGAGTTAGTTCACTACTATTATTATTATCACCATCAAAAAACATTCAGCCCCTATGGTTTGTAGGGCAGTGGGTTAGGACCCAGGGATGTGACACAGACCCTGTTGTAGAAGCTTTACAGTTTAGATGAGGAGGCTAAATGCCTTTTGTTTCAATGGAAAGATAGCTTTAATCCCTGTGATCTTATGTCTCTGACTTTTTGAGTAGGAGGGTGATAATGGGTAACAGGGATTCCAATGATTTCTTTTTTTTTAAATTTTTTATTGGGGATTTTGGGGGATGGGAACAGTGCTGGGGAATTGGGGGAAGGGGAACAGACAAGTTGCTGTTGTTTTGNAAGTCTTTTAGTTGCTTGAATAATAATGCATTAGTATGGTGCTTGACAGCTGATATACACTAAATAATACTTATCATTGGTAGTAATGTTTTTACTGTTAACACTCTTAAGAGGAGGTGGGTTGCTAAAGCAATAGCCTAACCTACCTTTATCATCCCAACTACTACTTTTCTCTTACTCACTTGTTTTTGCTTTCAATATTTTTTTTTAACCTTGATTTTTTTTCTGGTTTTGTTTTTTTGTTTACATCATATAATATGCTGTGTGCATTTATACATTCAGACAAGACACCTATGTGAAAAGTTATTAGATGCATTCATTGTACTTTCCTATAATTGTCACAGGCTTATGGACTCTTAGAAGTGAAGGGACCCTCAGGAGTCATAGGCCTTTTCACCCCCATACAAAAAAACCTCTGTGCCATCACTGACCAGAGCATTTATAGATGTCTGCTGGGACAGGTTATCTGTTCTTTGAGGCTACTTTGAGTGTCTTTTGTATCAACAGCTTTAATTATCGGAAAAATCCTTTCTCATACTGAGTTGAAATCTGCCCCATGTAATGTCTCCCCTTTGGTCCTTGTTCTGCCCCCTGAAGAAATATTGACTGAATCTATTCCCAGATGGAACTTCTTCAAATACTTGAAGCTGTATCTTCTTTCTCCTTTCCAAATCCACAAATCTTTTCTTGCTTCTTACCATAGTCCTGTACTATTCTAATTGCTTTCCCTCCGTGGAAGAGCTTCAGTTGGCAGGTCCTGTTTAGAGTGTGGTACTCAGAATGGGACACTGGGTTACAAGTGTGGTCTGACCAAGTCAGACAATGGTGGGGTTACTTCCGTTCTCTAATCTGGATAGTGTGCTGCTGTTTATTTCTGTGGATATGGCTCCAAATTTCCTCAGTCTTTTGGTATATACTTTAATGCAATGTGTTTGATCATTTAACTAAATATGGCCTTTAAAAGCATATTTGATATTAACTAAGATGTTTGGTAGTACCCATCTTGTTATTTGTATCAGTGTTTCGTTTCATTATGTTTTTATGTTAAGGTTGTCTTTCTATAAACGTTTCTACCAAATTAAAAAAAAAAATTTTTTTTTAGCTGAGCCATCCTGCCACCTGTTGGCAGCTCAGCGGCAGCTCAGCTCGGGTTGGGAATCGAACCAGCGACCCTGTTGCTCAGAGCTCGCACTCTTGAGTGAGCTCTTAACCAACTGAGCCACTTGGCCGGCCCCGATTTTACCAATTTTACCAATTTTAAGATAGTATTACTTCATTAAGATTGGTGAATTACTTTTTGGTAATATCTTATACTGCCATTTGGATAATTCTTTCCAATTAGCATATGTAATGGAATCAATATCTTTTTAGATCCATATGTCAAGCTTCTACTTGATGCCATGAAGCATTCAGATTGGTAAGTAAATCTTTTTGAAGTGCTGCTCTATATTCTGGCTACTAAAACCAAAAAAAGCCCCAAACTGGAACAATTTAAGATTTGTCACTTCAGGCTACAAAGCCTTTTGCATGTGGTAGGTGATGGTGATTGGCTGCATTCTCTCCAGGCAAGCCTTGTTTTCTCTGGACGTCTTCTGCCCTAACACCAAATCTCTGGCTCTACCATTCACCTCGGGTATTTTGTAAAGATAACACCTAAAACCTTTCTCATAAGTAATTGCAAACCTGGCTTTACCGCCATGCCAGGGTCAGCATTGTCCTGAATGGAGAGGAAACCTCAGCTTGTTGCTTAGGAGCTGTCCAGGTGATGTTTGACTTTGAAGGGATTAGAGGAAGACTTCTGAGGTCCACTTCTTAACATTCTGGCCCGAGGGCAGCAACTCCAGCGTATTTCCAATATGGCCTTAATTAGCCGACCAAAAGCTTTATGGAATCACAAGGTTCACAGAATTTGAAGTAGGATAGATGTTGCAGAGACAGTTCCTTGTTTTGCAGATGACACAACTGAGTCCTGAAGGTGTGAAGTTACTTTCCCGGTGTTTCCTCTGTGTCAGTGGTGGAGGGGGTTTGTTACAGGTCTCCTGGCCCAGGGCTGTTTCCTCTGTGCCACATGCACACTGCTTCTGGACATTGTCTCTTTAATCCATTCTTGCCTTTTAGTGCTGTTAACAGAGAAAGACACTTTTCTTGTGAAGATTGTAATGGAAATGTCAGTGGAGGTTTCGATGCTTCAGTGTCTCAGGTAGGCATTTTTGTGAAGTTGTTTTCTTTCCTCCAGTTCTCCTGATTTTGCCAAGCACCTTGCACATGCTGGGCATTCTGTTTGGTAGACTTTGTGTGGGATTAAAAAAATGAATTAGTCATGGTCCTTACTCTTAAGGAATTTACACTCTCACNTTTTTTTTGTAACTATGTAAGATGAAGGATGTTAACTAGACTTATTGTGGTGATTATTTCACAATGTACACAACTATCAAATCATTATGTTGAACACTTGAAACTAATTTAATAAAAAATAAATTAAAAAATCTGATACACTCTCATACATCGTTAGTGAAGCCATAATTAGACCATAACCTCTAAGGAGAGTAATTTGACAGGTGTTATGTAAATACACTTACTCTTGGTATGGAAAGAGCTCCATGATATATTGCTAAATAAAAACATCAGGACATTGAAGAGAGAAAGGGGAAAAAGGCAGAATATATATATATGTCTAGAATATCCCCAGAAGTAAATCCAATGAGCTATAAATGGAAGTCTCCACTAGGGAATGTAAACACTTATATTGAAAAGGGAGGCAGTGTTGGTATTCACTGTGTACACTTTCGAATCTTTTGAATTTTGTATATGTGCATGTATTATCTAAAAAATTAATTAATGCTCATTCACTTATTGTTATTCTTCATAATATTTTCAAAACTGTTATGTCAATATAACCAATGAATCTTTGTTCTGAGCAAATAATTGCAATGCTAACCTAGATGTTGTTATATATATGAAATTTATTTTCATTGTGTTAATTTCACTTTTCAAGCTATAGTCCCAAGCATACTCCTTTTTTAAAACTGTCTACCACAAAGTTCCCATTTAATTGGAATCTCTTTCAGTAGCCTTATCGATGGCACCAGTTATCTGTGATAATGAGGAGTTCCAAATACCCATTTCCAAAGCTAAACTGCATACGAGTTAGTTCACCACAATCTTAAGTACTTATAAAAACCTCGTTTGTTCTTATTGTGCTACCATACACATAAAATTGACCATCTTAATAATTTTTTAGTGTACAGTTCAGTGGTATTAAGTACATTCATATTGTTGTTCAACCATCATCTCTAGAACTATTTTCATCTTGCAAAACTGAAACTCTATACCCATTAAATAATAACTCCCCATTCTCCATTCCATGAGCCCCCAGCAGCCAACATTCTATGTTCTGCCTCTGTGTTTTTGACTACTGTAAGTTCCTCAGAACTTTGTTGTGAAGATTAAATTAGTCTACATATAAAAGACTTAGAAGAGTGCCTGGCACATATGTGATTAGCCATTGTTATCTAGGTATCACTGACAAATAGAACTTTCTGTGATGATGAAAATGTTCTTTATCTGAATATCCCATGTGGTATACATAGACATATGTAGTTACTGAGTTTCGAAATATGGCTAGTGTGACTGAGGAATGGAATTTTAAATTTTATTTACTCTTAACAATTTTTAAATTTAATCTTAATTAATTTAAATGTATTAGCCACATGTGACCAATAGCTACCGTATTGAACAGCGTGGATCTCAAGCTTGGAGAGGCCAGGCCTGGAGTTACAGATGGACTTGTCACCTTACATGTGGTCCTTGAAACCATAAGAATGAAGGGGGGTAAATAAAATGGAAAGGGAAGAGGGGTGAGGATTGGGGCATACCAGCATTTAAAGGTTCTGCCAGAGAAAGAAGAGATGGAGAGAATGTGGTCGAAGAGGCCAAAAGAAGGAGTGGTACCCTATTAGAAAAACAGAGATGAGAGTTCCAAGGGAGGGGTGGTCACCAGTGTTACCTGCCATCGACTGAGTCATAAAAATAAGAACTGAAAATATCGTTGACCACACTTTTGTGCTCCAAGTAAGTCTTGTGACTTTGAAGGTGGTAGGGTGGGGAGACTGGCTTTCCAGTGGAACTTGAGGTACCATTTGGAACTGTTCTGCTTTTTCTAGTGAATACATGCAAAAGACATAAAGGCATTGGCTTTGAGGTGAAATATGCTTGAGGAAGGAATATTTTAATACCAATTCTCATGACTTATCCTGAAGAGATTTGAAAGACAACACTAGATGTACTGCTTTCTACAACACATCCCCACAGAAGGTTGTTAGAAGGCATTGGAAGATTAAGGTGGCTGTTTCCATACTAAATGTTAATGTACGAGTCAAATTGATGGTTTTTGAACCTGGAGGATTAAATAGTTTCATTTAATTGTATTAACTAAATTGATTTTAAACCAGCAGAATTATCTGCAGTGCTTAAGAAGTCATTATGCTCCATCCAAGCGAGACAAATGGGTCACCTTGGGATTTGCAGCTGGAGTTTACCTTTACAGCAACACATCGGGAACCAAGTCATTTGTCCTAAAGAGGCTCTCTTGGCAAAGGTTCATCAAACCTGTCTTGATTAATTTTTCAGAAGCACATGAGGAGATTTACCAATTATACTTTCAGGGGTTGATTTGATGAGCTTCACATGGTTGCACAATCTGCATATTGCTGCCTTAAGCTCCAGCAGACTAAAATGGTTAAAAAANGCCTTGAGCTCCTCTGAGGAACAAGGCCATGTTATTATAGAAATAGCAAGAAGTGGGCTTGTTCTATTTGCAATGAATTAGCAAAAATGTGGCCAGGTTGGTTGTAGAATCTATGTGGGTAGTTCCAAGACTTTTTCCCCACCATCTATTAAAGCTGCTTTTTACGTTAGAAATGTAATAAATTAGAAAACATGTCCTAACTTCAGGCTGTCATGCTCAGTTTGGAATGTTCTTGATTTTCTGTGCTTTGTACCACTTAATTTTTCGTAGGACAATTGAGGCTCTGGAGGAAGGTCATGAACTTAATACAGGTTTAAGGGAAGGTCCAAAGGGCTTCAGTGATTTAGGCTAGGGCTGGGAGGGCCATATGCTCGAAGGGTCTTAGATACTGATGTATTCAGTTTTAACGCACATTGAAACTCAGTTTATAGATCTTTGAAAAAAATGCTTTCTTGAAGTCCTTTTGGAAATTTTGTAGAAGTGTTTGTGTCTTGTAGAGAGCATGGACTTTTTAACTCTGAAGTCCAACTCTCTGACTTTTGGTTCCAAAGAAATTAGTTCCTTCAGGGAGGCTACTAGTTCCTTCAGGAAGGCTACAGTGTAAAGTTTTGAAAATTGCTTTTGTTAGATGATTGAACAAGCCCCATCCTCCCCCCACCCCCCACTGCCCCCGCAGTGTATTTGGCATTGTCTAGCATAGCTCATCCTTATCTGTTCTTTTTCTTAATTTCAGAACATCTTGAGTCATTAGAGTTTAAAAAAGCCTTACAGATACTCTGTTCTCAGAAAAATTTGCTAATTTTATACTCTTTTACAATTTAAAAAAATGGTTGCTATAAAGGTATAGAGCATGAGCACTTATTTTCTTTTCATTTGCCTTCTGTCTCTGTGGCAGGTTCGAGCTGCTAACCTTAGTGGAGACTGCTCACTTATAAATGAAGTTTTCAGGTTACATTTTGGATTAAAACAACACCATCAGGTAAGAACTAACGTGTACTCACCCTCAAGAGTGCTAAGAGTGGAAATAGTGAATAAAGAAATGAGAAGTATGTTTAGTATTTGAAATTTGTAAGAACTACTTATATGAAAAGAATACAAAATGTATGCCGTTTAAGCCAAACAGATGGAATTTAGTTTTACTTTGTAATTATGGGCATGCAGTGTGACTGATAAGAGATTTTTATAGTGAAAAGAGCTCTGATCTACCTCCTGAGATACTTTCAGGTAGGGGAAGTTAAAGAATGGAAGGGAAATCACAGCCTGTCTTACCTTTATCCCAGCAGTCCTAGACTTGTACTTTGAAGCTACCACAGTATTCTCCAGACAAAAAAGCAATACCTTTCAGAACAGAGACTGCATTGCAGCACAGGCTATGGCCGTATATTAGTGCACCTTTAAAGGATGTCATACGGGACAGCAAAACTTTGGATTGGCACAGACTTGAGTATGATGAACTGAGCTGAGAGGGATTTTGTAAACAAAACAAGGCAAAACCAAAGAAAACTATAGGCAAGGTCACCTTGCTAGAAAGCTTTTAAGATCTGCAACAGATGGACATGGGGAGAGA